TTTCACGTGTTTCAGCGTTTTTTTTTAATGTTGGAAGTTGTCGAAATATTTGACCGTCCCGGTACATAATTGACACCCTGTATATACCCTACATGTGTCTATATTTTATAAAGTTATCCGAAAGACGTAATCAACAAAAAGCAATTAGAAGGCCTTTTACGTAGTCCCTAAGATAGCTCTTTCCCTTGCCCTCCCGGCTGCTTCTTTCTTTTTCATAACTTCTTCACAAAAGTTGATGAAAGCTCTTCTACCTTCTTTTCCCCTTAGCTCTCTGATGATCGCTTCTCCCGTAAGATTAACTCCTATCTTCTCAGTGAGAGTTCCGCGTTCCCGATCCCACGCCGGACAATATCTGAGTGTGTGCTTCGCGGAATCATTTTCCGCGTCGCAATGCCAACATTTCTGTGTTGCTTCCCTCCCGATGCGACACAGGTACCTGCCAAAGCAACCATGCCCCGTCAGCACCTGCGTCGCCCGGAAGGAAAGCCCCATCCTGGCATCCATCCATTCCTGTAATTGGCCTTCAATAGCTCTAATATATTCCATATCTCCTTGTATATTAACTCCTGTGAGCCATTCTTTCCAATTTCTGACCATCTTCTTCCTAGAAGCGTCCTTTACGGCATCTATCCTGTCTTTTAGGACTATGGTTCCTAATGGTATATTTTTCCTCATTTCTGAGATTCTCAAATATACTTCTTCCTGCCTTCTTGCCTCTAATGCGAGTGGAGGAATTCCTGCAAGCGTTGTATTTGCTACAAACGAGGTAGTCCTGTATGATCTGATCATTCTACCTGTTATTCTTCTTTGCGCCGCTCGCATTATTTGATCCGCCTTCTTATTTTTTAACACTTCGTACGCCCAAATCGGCGCTCCATACAGCGCTATTGATGTTATAACCTAGGAATATAGCCTTCTAACCCCATAACTTGGGCCCCCCAAATTCGGCAACAGCCTGCCAAGTGAATAGGCTGACCGTTCCAGTTTGGGAGCCAATTCCTCAAAGTGTGCCTTGAAGTTCCACCTACTGTCCAGAATTAACCCAAGGTACTTCATCTTTTTTCCAACTTTTATTAGTGTACCTGCCACGTTTACAGATGTATTAGCCAGTCTTCCCTTGTTATGAAAGCCGACTATTTCTGTCTTTGCCGGTGCTACGTTGAGTCCCATTTCTTGTATCTTCTGAATTATGGTTCCAACTGCCATGTTCGCTCCCAAGGTCGCTTCTTCCCAATCATCTCCAGATGACATTACCATTGTGTCGTCCGCATAACATATTATCGCACATTCCCGTAGTATATCCTCTTCCTTCATGACTGTATTAAATCCTATGTTCCACAGTAAAGGGCCTAGTATTGAGCCCTGTGGAACTCCTCTTTGGACCTGTCTTTTTCCTTCCATGCCGTTATTTTTGGGGAATGATAGGCTCCTATTATCCAAATAACTCCGTATTACCCTTCTTAAATATAGTGGTACCCTATGTTTTTGTAAGGCTACTTCGATTGTTTCCCATGGTAAAGAGTTAAAGGCATTTTGGATATCCAATGATACCCCAATCACCACCTTATTATCTTCGTGTGCTCTTTCCATGTATTCCCTTACCATAGCAATTGCATCCATAGTAGACTTTCCCTTTCTGAAACCGAATTGTCTTTTGCTGAGATTAGGACCCTTATCGTTTAGGTGATCCACGATCCGTTCCGTAATTATTCTCTCGAATAATTTGGCTTTCTCATCTAATAGGCATATAGGTCTATAACCGGCAGCCTGATTGTCTGGTTTACCAGGCTTTCTTAGCAACACTAATTTTGCATTTTTCCAAGTATCTGGAAACTGTCCTTTTTTTAGACATTCAGTAAACAGTCTCCTAATTTCTACAGTCATAACTGATGTTGTCGCCAATGCCCACGCCTTGGCCGGAATCCCACTAGGACCTGGAGCTATGTTCTTCATCATCATGCGTTTTACCGCATAATGTATTTCTTCTTGTTTAACCTGAAATTCCTCCTTCCAAGCGTTCGCTCCTTGCAATGGAAGTTCCGGCTCTCTCCATTTAATAGCAGTAGCGATCGGCGGCGGGAATAATCCATCCAATACTCGACTCAACGTATCCTCTTCTAGTGACTCAGAAAATGGAGGGGTCCATCTTCTTAATTTCCCCAATACCGTTTTATATGGTCTTCCCCAAGGATCATCATTTAGCTTTAGCTTTAGCTTTAGCTTTTCGTATGGCTGCACTAAACTTATCACGCGCTTGTCTATACTCTCCTAATCTCATCTGTATTTGAAAATCGTCTAGTAGCCGTACACGATTTCTTCTGAGTCTCCTAATGCGTCTTTTAGCTGCCGTGAACTCAGATCTTAGCTGGGCAAGCTCATCAGTCCACCAAGGCATGGCTTTTCTCTGTCTCGGCTCTGATCTAGGCATGGCCGCATCACATGCTTGTATCATCATTTTTTGCATGGTTCTGGCCTGTGTTTCCATGTCTTCTTCCTCAATTATTTCTCTTCGTGGCCAAGATCCTGCAATAATTGCCGCCGTAAATAAATCCTCGTCAATTTTCTTGATTGCCCAGCGTTTAGATCGCGGTAGTCTACTTTTTATCCTTTGCATCTTATTGTTCCATCCATATCTCGATATATCTGTGGTCAGACTTGGATTCCCTTTCCGAAACCGTCCACTTACTAACTCTTCTAGCTGCAATTAGATTTGCAAACGTGATATCCACTATAGATTCTCCGTTTTCCTTAATACATGTAAATTTGCCTCCGTTGTTAAGGCAGTATAGTCCTAGACTATTTGCCCACTCCGTTACTATCATTCCACGATTGTTCGTAATGGGGGATTGCCACATTTTGGCTTTTGCATTAAAATCCCCAGCGATGATATAAGGTTTTCCCCGAACTTGTATTATCCATCCTTCTATTTCATTTAACGCATCTTTATACTCCCTTTTATTTATACTAGGAGGTAAATATGTGCCTATCACCATCATATCTCCCCATCTCACGGAAACAAAATGGTTACCTTTCGCCTTCGGAGTACATGGAAGTGCATTACTTTTTGGTCTCCACACTATTGCCACCGATTCCCTATCGTTTGCCGTCCAGTAATTGTTTCCTGTGGGAATAGTGTATGGTTCAGAAACTACTGCCAGAGAGAAATCTCCTTCTATCATAGTCTGCAGAAGCAAGTCATAACCATCCCGCGAGTGATTAATATTCGCTTGTAAAATATTATTATACAGCACTGTCTTTTCTGGAGATTCCTCCCTCTCCTTTTTCTTCCTGTGTTTCCTTTATAATTCCTTCTCCAGACCAATCGCGTTCTCCTGCTGGCCACACAAATTTTTCTTGTGATGGTTGTACGTTCACAGGGTCTTGTGTCATTGTATCTATATCCGTCTCCATCCGGAATACTTCCTCTATCGTCTGTACGTTGTCCCTTACGCTGCATGCCGCCATAGATCTTGTACCACTATTTTCTCTACTTTCTCTGTCTATCGTGATGTTTGCCTCATTGATTGGAGTCTCAACCTCCATGAGTATACCTTTCATTCTGTTGCTTGTTTCCTGTATTGATGTTGATTCGTTTCCAGGTCTAGTGTTTCCAACTATTTTTCCTCTCCTTTTAATGGGAGGTTTACAAACTGGACCTCCCATCCGATGATCTGCCCTCACGTTCCTTTCCGCACATATTATGCAATGCACCGGAAACATACATTCCCTGGCCATGTGTCCATTTTGCCCACATCTATAGCATGACCTAGCCCTGTCGTTCTCGCTCCTGCACTGGTTACGAACATGTCCTGGCTCCAGGCACCGGAAACACTGAATAGGTCTTTCTGGTAACAATTCTACTCGTACCATCGTCCAACCTATTTTTATTCTCCTGCTTCTCGTTATCTTGTTTGCTGCTGCCAAAGGACATCTTACCCATAGCGTACCCATCCCGTTATTAGCTGTCATCACGTTGCCCATCTTTATATTTTCTCTAGTACATTCCCCAATTGATGTATGTTAAGTACCATAAGTATATCCTCCTTAGTCATAGACTCTTCTATATCCTTAATTCTCATATCAGCCATCTTTTCAGGTCTAGTTATGAGTACGTCCTGTTGATCATTTAAGGCCTCCTTTATCTTATCTGCAAGTTTGTTTGCTTTGTCACTACCTTCTGTGCCTGGTATTTCCAAAAGTAAAGCCCCTGTTCTTGTCTTTCTTGGTCTAATCTCTGTAATATTCAATATATTTATATCGACCCTAGTTTTAGCCAGTCTCATAGCTTCCGCGTAACTCATGTCTCCGCGACAACTAATTTGTACTGCCGCAGTTCTTGATGCTCTTCCATTATTAACCACCTGTCTATTGGTCCTGGCAGGGGTAAATGATTTATTTATTGTCGCCAGAGTTTTACTCGTATTCTCCTTTTTAGCCCTTCTCCCTACTATTTTCGTCCAAGACGTATCCTTTTGTTCCTTAATATTTGACTTGTTTGTACGCTCCTCTGCTTCATTCCTGCTTTGGGATAATTCCTCCAATTGCCTTACACGTTCTTTCGATTTTCCTAATGTGTCTGTACTTTTATTATACTCCTTGATAGGTGTTGTTGCTGCCTTCAAGATTTTCATTTCTTTTATTATAGGTTTCTTATTCAATTCCGCCAATTCTTTCATTACTATCTCCCTAATTGTTTCTGCCAACGTTTTAGGCATCGTCTTCCTTGTTGTTTCTATCCCTTCCTTCCTTCCTTTTGTAACTAGGGCTTCCAAGTCTTTCTGATGTTCCCCAGAATCCTCGTTCATGTCTAACACATATTTCTTATGTGCTTTATATATTTCCCTTTGCTCTCCTATGTCTTCCTTGATTAGCTTCCTTTTACCACTTAGCATTGGCCTTTTCACCTCTGGCCAATTTTCAGGTTTATCCAGAACGACCTTGATTTTATTTTCCACATCTACCTCCATAAGATCTGAGTCTGTGGAGATCATCCTCTCCCTTGCTCTGATTCCCGCTGATGCTACTCGTTTGGGACTCTTTTTAACTAATTCTTGCCTATTCCCTTTGCTAGTGCCTTCCTTAGGACTTGTCTTTTTATCTCCTCTTTCTGCCTTTTCCTTTCTTAATGCCTGCAATTCCGCACGATAGGCTTCAGCTTCTCCAACGGCTTGCAGAGCCTTCCTTCTTTCCATCTCTATTTCTTCCTCTAACTTTAATCTCAAGTTCATGTTCTCTCTTTTAAGAGATCTCACTTCTTCCCCATAAGAATCCTCTTTATTAAGGGAAACTCTTTGTTTAAATATTTCCAGTATACCCATGGATGACGCGGCCGCCATTTTCAGACTCTTCTGAAATGTCCCCTTTAAATTGCTAGAGGCTCTTGCTATCCTCACCACCTCCAAGAGATTATATTTTACCTTTTCGTCCAATTCTTCGTTTGTTAGTTCTCCCATTTGTTTTTTTATTTTACTTAAATTAATCTTAGCTTTTTAAAACAATTCTGCTTCACTATATTCCCTGATTATTTTCTCTCTATCGAGTTGCAACGCCTCCTCTTTTGCCTCGTTATACTTGTGAATTGCTTCTCTTTTACTAATATAATCCTCGGTTGTAATTCTTCTATCTGAGCTATCAGATGTAGATCCTGTCCTATTTCTTCTCTTATTTCCGACCTGCATACCAGAGCCTAATACATTTATCTTCTCAGGAGGTGAAGCATCCGAATCCTCCATTATCATTCGTCTGCCCCTACCTCTACTATGTACAGATTCAACGTCGCTGTCTGATGTACCTGCTGTTCCTGTCTCCATATTGGATGAATCCATACTACTCCTTTCCAAGGTCTTCTTTTTATACAATCTAGGTCCTGGCTTCTTAAAATAAGATCTCAGTCCTTCTCTACCTTCCATGTTTCCAATCTCCGTTGCTTCGTGCTGTTCTTGTGTGGAAGAATTTCCCTGCACTTTCTTTGCATCCTCCTTCTGTTTATCTTCCTCCTCGTTAGGCCTTACTTCAATTTTGTTCGTGTTATCAATATTTGTAAATTCATCAATATCCATTTCGTTAGTCCCCCTCCCCATGCCGGCTGCGCTGTTCAGGGTGTACCCTCTCTGTTTTTCAACAGAGCCCCGAGTTCCCCCGGGGGAACAGCTTATGCCTCTGGCTTACGGAATTTACATCGTAAGCTCTGGGCTCCAGCTCCCTACTCACCTTTGGCTACGATGCAAGGCCTTTGGCTTTCAGAGGTTTCCTGGCTCCGACTCCAGGGGCACCGGCATGGGTGACGCCACTCGGGGTGGCCCCATGGACAGTTTGGGTAACGGAGGCGACGTCCCCTCCGCACCCTTCCCGCCGTGGCGACCGGCACACCGTCTGAGAAGAGCACAGCACCACTCAGACGGTCAAAACCTCCACCCGTTCCCTCGTTTTGGGAGGGACGCCGTCACGAGGGACCGGGCAACCTTCCACCCCTCCCCCCAGATCGCTCCGAGACAAAGACGAGAAGGCGCGCCGAGGTTGAGCCTCGAAAAGCGCTCTGTGCCGCGCGGGGCACATAAGGCCCCCCCGGCGCACCCCCCCGCCACCCGCGGTAGCGGCCCAAGGGGCCAGGAATCGCGCCCCTACTTAGAGACGTCCAAGAGGCCGCGATCCCCGTCTACTCTAGTTCGAGGGGCGGGAGTCACTTGTGAGGACTCCCACACGACTCCCCGCCTCCCGCCGGCGAATGCCGACCCCCGTGGCAAACACTTTAATGCCACGGGGAACGACCCCCGTCCCTTTACTCAACACCAACGGGGAATTCGCCCGCGCAACGGAACGCTTTTACGTCACGCGGGCGAACCCCCGAACCCGGATCAGGGATACTCTCGGTGCAATGGGCATTATGCCCTGAGAGCACCCTGAGAGCGTCCTGCCCGCGGACAGGACGCCACTTCCGCAAAAAGTTCCCGGCCCCGCCGTGGAATACGTCCACGCGGCCCGGGAAACCGGGACCTCTGGTTTCCCAGGATCCCTCACCGGGAGGCATGGGTTCCACCACAGATTTCTCTGTGGGTCCCCATCGTCTCCCCCACGGTTATCAGACCGGCGTCCGCTCGTCCCCGACGGCGCGGAGTCCGGCCCTTTAACCGCGTCTCCATCAGAGACACCCAGTGTGCAATGGGCAGTCGTTTATGAAAAACAACCACCTACTGGGCAAGCCTGAAGGTGAATGTCTGGGTGCAATGTGGGCATGCCCACTCCAGACATTCGCGACCCTACTTTGGCATGGGCTCGATGGCTGACGCCAGAGCCCGCCTACAGCCGTCGGCTGCTTCGCCTCTTTGGCCCGTGAAACCCCGGAGAGAAGCCCCCCTGCCCCCCGAAGGGAGAGGGGAAGGAAGCCCCCAAAGGCCCACGGACAATGGTGGACGACCACCACTCCTCGCATGGTGAGAGAGCAAACCTCCCTCTAACGGTGCCGTGCCACCGGGATTTGTAGTCGGAGTTACCTTCTCCTACCGGCGTAGTGATTCCCCATCTTATAAGGGATGGTTCCTCCAGACCCTCCATACTCCAAGAAGTATAGGGGGGCCTTGGGACGCCGGACCCTAGCGTACAGAGTCCCTCTATTTAACGAGGGACTCCGTACTGTGGAGTGTTGGCACCCTGGACTCCCTTAAAAAGCCCCGGGTGAGCCCCCGTGCCACGACAAGGCCCTCCACGCACGGGGAAAGTTAGCCTACTCTTATTCGAGCCAACGTTGGCAGCATGTCGGCAATCGGCGGTCACGCCAATCATGGCGCCAACTCGGCCCAACGTACGTTAGCCGACTCTTACTTATTGACAAAGCTCGGGCCAACGTTGGCAGCATGTCGGCAACCGGTGGTCACGCCAATCACG